AGCTGTCTGCTCCACCCTAGTTATTTATACTTGTCACCCAACCTTTATTTACCTTTCCTACCTTTCTGAGTTCTACATTCAGACTTTCTGTTTGAACTGCACTTAATACTCGGCACTTGTTATAACAGTGATAGACTGGCTTTTCTAGTCTTACAGACCACTCCAAGTGCTCTAGACTACAAGTCAAAACACACCATGCAGTACCTTATTCCATACACTTCAAGCCTTCACGTCTCACGTCCATGGCCTGTTTCAAGTCACCAGTTAGCCTAACATGCTATCTTTGGTTTGTCGGAGGAAGTAGCCAGAGGGCACTCACACGAGCACATGAGGAACATGAAAACTCCACACAGGGTTCAAACCGGGAACTTTCTTGTCGTTGGGCGACAGGGTTAACCACTACAACACCACGCAGTTTTGTTTTTTAGAACTAGAAATAACATTTAAAGCTGAATTTAAAAAAAAAGGCTTGTGCTTTATGTGAGAAATGGCCCAAGGGCACAGCCAGCCTATTGCATAATGACAACTTCAATTGATCTCTGTGCAGCTGCAGCAGCCTTTGTGTGAGAACAGCAACAATGAATACCACCTGATGATACAAAGCAACGACGGACATGCAAGAGAACACTGAGGCCTCACCCCTCATAATAGCAACACCAACTGAGTAAAAAACACCTTAGTTAGCCAACAGACTCCACATTAATAGGCCTATAAAACTTTGTAATGGCAACTTTAGAAATTATTATTAGTCTACAATGATGTCAGCTTGTAACAGTGTTATAAACAAGCATTTTTTCTATATATTTATAGCTCGGTAAAATGACAAATAACCATAGCTTATTTATCAGCTTTCATACTGTAAACCTGTATTCAGAGCCTCAACATACAATGTTTACGCAATGTATTATTTGTTTATAATTTGTAATATGAAAGCATCACACATAACTTACAATAAAGTATTAACGTTCTAATAATGCAGCTAATTTAACAGCAACTATTTCCACTGTCTGACCTCACTGTTTTTCAAAATCTGGCCCTGACTTCATCTGTGTAAAAAAACAACAACAAAAAAACCAGTTAACACTTACTCATCGACATCCTCCTGGACCTCCTTCTCATTTTTGTCTAGAGCCTGAAACTCTCGCTCTCTGGCCTTCTTCTCTGTCACCTCCTTCCAGTAGTCGTTGAGTTTTAGGCCCAAAGCTCCGAGGGTGAGTCTTGGGAGTAAAAAGAGGAAACAACTGTAAATGTGTTTAAAATAAGACAATGACAGAAAAAGAAATTAAACCTCAGTGACTGAAGATTACACGATCAAATTACCCCATCCGCTCTTAACTTTGTACATACAGGATGAAACTATTTATTCCAACTCAACAGTTCATATTCACAAACAAAACAATCAAACAAAAAAAAAGCAACGATCTGATTTATTACTGTTCGTTACCTGTACTCTTTGGTGTACTCAAAGTCTTGCTTGTTATGAGCAGGTTTCAGAAAATTGCACTCGATGACGCCGATGACGCCGATGCCCGCTCTTAGGCCCGAAGTCTGAAGGAAATTTAAGAGTGACGTTTATTAAGCAGAGGCAGGTACCCAGGGTAGCCCCACAGTATTTGTAACACACAACATTATTTTACTTTACCTTTAGCTGGCAGCCCACTTTCTCAAACGCCTTAATGAGACGATTCTTGTGGTACATCATAATCCCATAGTGATCCTTGTTTTTTGGGCTAAGTCCAAAGGTCACCTTCACTTTGTCTTTCTGACAAAAACCAGTTAAGAAAACTGACAAAGTTTAGAATAATGATGCAATTTTCATATAATTAAAGGGATGTTACTAATGTAATTGTTTTAACAGAAAAACATGGAAAAAATGCAACATTGTTCATACAATTATTATTAATGACTTTATTATTAATTATAGTAGAGTATAACTCTTATCCTACCCCTGAGGTCTGGTTTGTTGCATGCATTCATATATTAGATAGGCAAACAGATAAAGTTTCAATTAAAAATTCGGTTTTGTGGGCGCTGAACCGATCACTGGCACGATAACAGAAAACCCCAGTTTCAAAATCTCAGTTCTCTAGAAGACATGAAAAGATTAAAAATAATAATAACTAGATATGAGACCGCATGAACTGGCACTGTGAAGCTTGTTTGGATTTTCCCTTCATGAACATCTGTTAAGCACCAAAAGTGTGTTTAAACTTTTTCACCAGACCCCAGTAAAGTAACACAGATGCTTCATCTCCAACAGTCACACGAATCCCACTTCCTGTTTACACTTGAATTTGGCTGTTACACACACACATAGCGTAAGGATACACTGAAGTGGGGTTTGTAGACGTCATGCTCAATGTGTATCAGCCTCTTCGCTACCAGTTTGGCCTGAATCTTCTTCCCCCTCAGTATGATCTGTGTCCTCGGCTTCAGATACAGGATACTGA